TAAAAGAGGTGACTCTTCGGGAAGCTCACAGGATCCCAAGGGAATGGAAACAGATTGATGTCAGAAAGCCATAGATGATTGTATGTTCATAGTCCAAAAGGCTGTGGACTGGAGTTTAGGAGAAGACTAGCTGAACAGCAGCAATTTTGCAGTACTTCTATGTACAAAAGAATGCAAACTATGGAAGAAAGAGCCAGGGGTGGAAGTAGAGCCAAGCAGTAGTCAGGGAGGGGATCAAAAGGGCACAGGCATTAGGACTGAGGTACGGAGCATGAGTTCTTATGCCACAGACACATCTCAGCCTTCCTTAGGCTCCCATCCAAATAATCAACCCTGTCCCAGACGATAGCCCCATCCTCACCACTCCTCAAAGCCTGGCAGTTTGACAAAATCCAGGGCCAGGGAAACTGCTACACCTCTGTCAGCCATTTCAAGAGGCAGGTATGAGGTATCAAAGGGACATTTCACTGGGACATCCAACCCAGCCAAATTAATATTTTCAAGGCTGACTAAAGAAAGACTGCAGGAGGACTGCCACCAAAATCAAGTTACAGACTTTTCCTTTGTCTACATTATTAGCCAGGGAAGCAGAGGAAAGAGAGGAGAGAGCTCCTATTTTTCTCTTCAGTTCAGGAAACCCTACAGCTGAAAAACACTGCTGTCAGAGTCTTTGACATCCATTACAGGCAGTCTCTGAAGTACTATGCCCTGCTCTTGGCAGGACTTTCTATCATCTAATGAAGCACCTTAGGTTTAGGGTCATGCTATGAAAACGTGGTGTTGCTCTCTCTGGAAAAGCCAACCCTGCAGTCAGAAACCTGCTACAACACAAGGAAGCCCCAGCCTGTGCAGAGCCACAAGAGCACTGCAGAGATCTGTGCAGCCTACTCTACTGCAGGGGTAAATTCATCAGAATCTCTGCTCTTCCAAAACTTGGATGTTGAGCTGAATTAAATTTCTGTGACTGCACCAAAATTACAGATGTCTGGGAGAATATGGAGAGCACTGTAACTTTTTTTGTACTGTTATTTCTTAAACAAAAATCAGAGGCTGCTCTCTATTACAGATGCTACCTTCCTCCTTCAGCCAGTGTCTATCTGAGCTTGAGTTAATGAGGGGATCCAGTGGAATGGTGAGGTGTTCTCCTGAAATGTCAGCTATCTGTTCCTTCAATGTCCTCAAAGAAGGTATCACCAATATATAACTGCAAAAAAGATATAATTTAAAAACTCCCAGTTATTTTAAGGTGAATTTTCAGCTGTTTCTCTTTCATGATACTGCATGGAGGAGAGAAAATTTTCTTCTCTGATCATGTAAGCTACATGCAAGTTTCATAAAGTCATCTTCAACAGGCTTAGCCTAGAAAGCAAGTTACAGGACAATGGAGAAGCTGGGCATAAAGAGGCTCTTTTGCAACACACGCTTCCTCATGATTGAAGAGGACAGGATGGACCTCTTAGAACTACTCTTCATGGCTTTCTAAACCCAGCTTTGAATAATGTTGGGCAATAAACTTCCAGTCTTTGTCTGAGAAGTCTACATGTTGCTCTGAAGGAGTCACACCATTTGGAAGCTTTATGCAATACTCAGTTTACATTTTTTTGTTTGCTTAAGTTCAAATTCCTATTTCTGTAGCCTTTGCACCTCTTGCTCTCTTACTTCTTCCTTTTGTCAATAGATTATAATAACACTTTCTTCATACGGTATCTTCTTCAATCTATTTAACTGACAACTATATTTATTTCAAGTTAAACCTGTTTAGTTTTACCCTACCCTTTACATCCCTCCCTACCTAGCCCAGTCATATCTGTTGGCCTGCTTTGATCCCCTTTAGATTTTCCAGTGTGGTGTCCAGCAGTGTACAAAGCATCCCTCATGCACTCAGGACAGGCTCTAGGAGGACAATCTACCTGATTTCATCAGCAAAGCCCCTTTTCAGTAATTCTGAATCTTAGCCTCCTCCTTCTCCCCCTGAAGGTGAAGTTTAAGGGTTTTTTTTGAAGGATGAGATTTCCTCAGAAAGCTCTAGTCCCTGTTAGCTTGCTAGACAAAAGCAGTTTGAGGGGTAACTAGGCCCTAAGCAAGCATTAGTTTTAAGGCATAAATAGAAATCTCTCCCATGCTGGAAACAACATACTTCTAAAACTTGTAATAATTTATACTGTCTTTTTCTCTTCCCTCTTCACACCAAGTCACAGCACCATCCTTATTCCTCCATCACAAAGCAATGAAGCAACATGGAGCAAAAGCAGAAGTCTGCTCAAAGAGATTTTGGGAAAGGGTGGCAGAGATCCTCTCCAACCAGCACGTCAGAGTCATTGTCAATAAAAGTGGAATTAATTCCAGTTGCAGCCTTTGAGCAAATGGTCTGTTTAGATGGGAACTGCACACAAAGCTACAGTGGTGCAGGAAAGTTGCTCTTTGCTTCTTATGTTTAGAGAAATGGCACCAAATTCGTTACTGAAGTATGCAGGCAGACTCTTTTGGGCCATAACACAACCCATCCTGTAGACATCCCAAGTGCCTGACCAATAAATCATATCAATTTCTCAGAGTACAGATGGGTACCTATTACACAGGAAGGGGGATCACCACAGATCTCAGGAGCTGTCTACAGTTTGCTGTGATGACTGTTTTCTTATTCCCTACAGCAAGGTCAGTGAAGACCATGCAGAAAATTACATTTGCCCATGCACCATGTTGCCTGCCAAGAGCTGCTTGGAATAAACAAGGGCAGTTTTGGTGCATGACCACAGTGCTCCTTCCTGTCTCCAAGCCACAGCTGAGTAAATAGTGTTCAACGCTGCATGATGAAGAAAGAAAGAGAAGAGGGAAGGTACCAGTCAGAATGAGTGAAAACTGGAATCCACAACTGCTACTTTGGTTGCTACCACAAATTACCCTATCTCAAGTTCCAGTAACAAATGAAGCAAATCACAGAGAGTTTAAATCTGACCCCACAGCACAGGGCAGTGAGCTATATGCACTCTACCATGTTCTCCCAGTGGAACAAGCTGGGTCGTGACAATTTGCCTCAGGATGGAGACAGATTGCAATCTGCATGTCAACCATGTTCACCTACAGCTGAACATAACACGTTGCTCTTCCACTGCAAAGCAGCTCATGACAAAATCCCAAAGGGACTTTAAAACAGCAGCACACACTAAGAAGGAGCTGGGAGGCTTAACAGAGTAAATACAGAAAAGTGAAGTGGTACAGCCAGGGTTGAACAGGATTGCTGAAGGTTGTCCTTCAACTGTTCAGGTTTTTTTGCTACACTGGTCTTCAAAGTGCCCAGCCTGTACTGCCACTAGCAAAATCCTCACTCCTTCCTGCAGATCTCAGACTCTGCAAGCAGTTTATTGTCTGTTAGTGCCCCAGGCAGATTCTTCTTCATGTTTCAGAGGCACAGTGAAGAATTTTGTCCATGTGGTACAAATGTCAAAAAAGCCCCACCACTTTCTGGACAAAAGTGACCTAACTTTGAGAACCATGAAGGCAGCTTCCTTCCTTCCTGGCTTTTAACACACACATTGTTTTTACCAGCTTCATTTCTGGTTTGTATGTGGCTGACAGATGGCACCTGACCCAAAGTGAAGCAAACTCTAGGAATGCTAAGTGATGCCTTTGTGGTGCTGTCAGTGTTGTGAGTGAAGTGTAGACACACCTGAGCTATCTTTAATTATCTTTCATACCAACACCAGCCTAGCCACAGAAGCCTGGAGCTCAGTGAAGACTGTAAAATCTAGCCAAGAAGCCAATAAATACCAAGGACTTAGCCTGAAATAGTCATTCCTGCTGTATCTAGGCTGCTTTTGGCACAGGAAGTAGCTATCTACAATGCTGTCACAACAGTGTCACAGCTATATATGTGCCCAAAGCAGCAGGAAGATATTTATTCCAGTTGATGTATGAAATCTGCCCCCAAAATTCACATCAGTAGCTTTTCAGAAACACAAGGATTGCCTGGTGAGTATATATTGAAGTTTTCTATTCCCATCTTCTTTTCTGTAGAACCACCATCCAAGCAGGCTGGAGCCCTGGGCAGTGCAGCCTTCCCTTTGGAATTATGGCAGGACACAACATTTCCACAAGCTGCTTTTCTACCACAGTCATGAAGTCATCCAATAACCATAAAGTCCTAGAGCTGTAAATCAGTCTCCTGGAAATGTAACAGAGAACAGCCTAATAAATAACAACAAACTTTTTTTTTTTAAGTGTTGGGAGAGCCTTTCCTGGTTTTCAGTTTTCTAACATTTCTGGTATAAGTACATA